AAAATTTTATTCACGGATACGAATATTTACGAATGTAAGTACCTATTGCGCATGTTATTGTATGTCATGTAGAGACTAGACACATATTACCTGTCAAGCCTTTGCGATTACATGTAGAGACTCAATATCTATTGGATTTGTAATTTCATTTGACCACTAAATTATATAAATGTATAATTTGAATATAAATCAATCGGGATAGAAAAGATTTATGGTCGTTTAAATATTTATTGTGATTTATTATATTTTATATTAACCACTTGCGGTGCCAAGGAATTCACAGACGTGTATACCAGAACGGTCCAGTGTTTCTCTAACAATTGCCTAACGACGTGTATACCACGTCGTTGGTGATTCTGCGACAAAAGCATTACGACGTGCGTGATACGTCTTTCCAGGGAAAATGGTTAATACGGAAGTCCGTATATAGTTATTATTAACCCTTTCGCGACGGCTGCCGTATATATACGACAGTCACTTATATACGTCTTTCCAGGGAAAATGGTTAATACGGATGTCCGTATATAGTTATTATTAACCCTTTCGCGACGGCTGCCGTATATATACGACAGTCACTTATTGTTTCACAGCGACTGACGCTGTATTTATACGACAGTCATTTATTGGTTGACAGTGACTGATCCCATTTGCATATGGCAAATCATAATTATATTAATGTATTATTAATATTGTAGAGACTTGGGTGGTGGTAAATAATAGAACTGTTTATTAATAATAATAATGGATTAACCACGTGTGGTGACGATTAAGCATGCGAATTTATATTTATCAACTACAACTTAGGGCTACGATTCGATTCAATAACACAATTACAACTCAGCCTGTTTCAACTAAAATACAACTAAACAACTAAAAACTTATAACTCTTCCCTATGCAACTCTGTTCTGATCACTTCTAAGTCTCCTTCCCAAAAACTGCCTTCCAACCACTCTTCCCAAGAACTGTCCATTAACCACTTTTGCCTTCTTTTATATCTTCCCCAAAAGCCTCCCTTAACATAACAAAATATGGTCATGCTAAGGGCCTAACTTTGACTTTCTACGCTAAAGTTACCCATACACGAGGTAGAAATCCTGCGATACTACAATATATATATACCCTTTCGCTACCAGAGTCTCAGGAGAAAAACCGCCACCACAGCCCAGACGTCTTATTATTTAAATATGATACCAATTGTCATTTATTTCTGTGGGATGTATCTATAACGTTCTAACTAAGTGAAATTAGCAATTTTACAAGCCGACACACATAAGTGACACTGGGCTATAGATAGATAATTCCTTTGGTAGCCCCGCCGTCACATATATGTGACACATTTGATTAAAAGGAAATGAATAAAATTGGAAAGGAAAAGCAAAATAAAAACTCTACATATAACTCAGCTAATATACTTGCGGCACCACTTAGTGCAACCAATTAAAAAATATTGATAAAGAACACGTAGCATAAATTTGTGATGCCCAGATCTTTTTTAAAAAAGTAATTGTCACCAGACCAATAACATCCTGTATCTATTTTATTGTTATATAACTTAACCCGTCTGTGTGCAACACGATTTAGTGCAAACAATTATCATAAACTGATAATAAACACCCGTCACATATTTGTGACGCCGGGCTCAGATAAGAAAATCAGGTCGTCACATATATGTGACGCTGGTAACGAAAGGGTTAACCCTTTGCACTCGAGAGGCGCCTTTCAGTCGCCATTTGATAAAATTTCGAAGCTCGATATTAATTAATATATCAAATTTAAAATAATGTAACAATGTGCGAGGTATCGAAATTAAATAATTCCACGTGTTGATTATTATACGATTTCTTATTTACTGCTCAAAAAATATCGTCAGCCTTATGGCAAAAAATTTTTCAACTCGTACCCTTTTTTAGCCAAAAAATCGTCGAGCGCAAAGGGTTAATAATTACTAATTTGTATTACTAATATGTATTACTAATATGTATTACTAATAAGTACACTTCATAATTACTAATATATATATGTAATATGTATTAGTAATGTATAGATTAATTTCAATAGCGAACTCAAAATGAAGCTAGTACAGGTATTAGGCGAAGTAACAAAATGGTGGCGGAGTATGGTTAATCACTCCGTCGCGAAAAGTGATGAAGTATATTACAGGTGCGCCGTCGCGAAAGGGTTAATTCCTAATTGTCAGAACACCATGGAATTTTTTTTTTCTTCTTTTTTAATTAACGCTAGGTCCATACTGAATTAGTCGAAAGGATTATGGTATATGAGATACGAAAGATGATCGGTTATTAAAAATTCTACGACAGTCTAGCGCCTATCTAATTTCCAAAAATTGTAGGCTATTCGAAGTTCGGGGAACATTATTGGAGAAGCGATTTGCAACTTTCTTGCGACAGAGGGAATCGAATGCCCATCGGCAAACGTGGTTGATCGACCTCGGAAGGAATTCACAGGTTCAGGCGGGCAACTGATTTCGAGTGAAATCAAGTTTTCGATAAAATCGTTTGGTCGGAAAGCGAACTGCCCGTGAACCATTATTCAAACCAACGGAGGAAGGCCAGGTAACTCGAAATCGACGAAGAAAAACAAACTTCGGCGAAAAGAATTTTCACCGGAATATTCCTCGGAAATAATCGACTCTTCGTTCCACAAAAACCACCCCCCAATCGAATAAAGAGAAAACAATTCTCGCCGAGCTGTTCGATTGTTCCACGAAATATCTTATTTTCCCCTTCGCTATGTGCTATTTGACATTCGATAATTTTATTCCCCTAGGCAAACGAATCGCGTATTTGTGAATTATCGAGGAAGAAAAATCGCAAACCTCTGCAGACTCTACGCGCAATATTTTTCGCAACGTGACAGTATTTCGATTCGAATAAATTGGAGAAATAAAAAATAGAATAAACGAATAAAATCCCCCCCCCCAAAAGAAGGAATACAGTGACGCAAGTTGTCGGTGAAATTAAACATCGATCGGTTGATCCTGATTTCCCGAAATTAAAAAGAAATATATCCCCAAGCGTCCAGGTGGTATTGAATTTTTTGTCAATGTATCAAACGCGGTGCATCTGTCGCTGAATGTCTTCCAATTAAACGACCGTTAAACAAGCGGATAAATAATTATTCGAATCGAAATATCATCAATTTCGCTGACCTGTCTCCGTAAAAATGAAATACACGTTAAACGCACTCGACAGTTCGCTTTTCCCTGCGCCATATTTCTAAACCCTGTCATTGATATTAATAAAAATTCCTTTTATTCGGGTTCTCTTCCTATATCTGGTCTCGTGATATTCTTACAACGCGAATTTGCTCCAATATGGTTTGAGAATGAAGGAAATTACAATACAAAATGGCACACACTGAAACTTAATTAAGTACAAAGTTACTCGATATTCTTCATTCGAATATGCATGCGTGTTACCATAAATTTGCATACGAAATTTTCGAATAATTATCATATAATGGAATTGAAATTTCAAATTTATTTTTTATTCACGTATTGCAGACCTTTCGAATGTCTTCTCGATTATAGGAATAACCATTCTTTACGGTTATCGTGTATAGAAATTATATAAAAATCGAAAAATAGGAATATTTTGTTGCAATATTACGGGTATTTTATTTCCAACGTCGCTTCGAATATTTTTAAAAGCGAATTTTATCATCGAACCCCAAATCTCACGTTTCCATAGTGGAAGACACTTGGGGTATACCAAATTCAGACTTTACTACTTTAAATTCCGAATCTCCACTTCGAATTAATTCGAAGGCAGCTTCCAACGCGGAGAGACGGGAATAAAAATTATTCCGGCGAAGGGTTGATCATCAAACTTCTCAAAAATTAACTGGAAACTCTTAAGAGGCTGTTTAAAACTCGAAAGAAATCTCGAAGCAACCCGTTCCTCTAACTTCCAGCAAATTAGCGAACCTGGCTTATTAGAATTCTCTTTCAACCTCCGAAACTCGTTCCTAAAGCGGCTCGATCGGGAAAATAAACAAACACGATAAATTCGGCTAAGTGGTCGTGCGAAAAATTCAGGTCGCATTAAAGTTCCTCTTGGTTGATTTAATTATTAGAGCGATCGGCCACAAGAGCGGCTCCTCTCCATCGCCATCATGGAAATTCCAACGACAATCGGTCGGGGTTACCTTCAGGGGTGGCGCGTTCGCGATTCGCGATCGATTAGCCAACTTTCCAAAGTATTCTTTAAAGTGTCCGGAGGTAGAAAAAATTCAGAGGGAGGTGAAATATTGAAAGAGGAATTTACGTAGGTAGAAAACCAGAAGAAGGTGCCAGCGATTGAAATATTCAGTCGGCGTTCACGTCAATGCACGGACACGTGATACTCATTTCAATTTCAACGAAGATTTTTCATTCCTTTCCGCGTTGCAACTGATTAATAGCTAATGTCCTATGAGTCTACCCATATATTAGACAATGTCACCGAGACATTACGAGTTTTCAGAAAAATCCATACTTTCGACGATGCTTTAACCACTTGCGCTGGAAACACGTGTCACGCACGTCGTAATGCTTTTGTCACAGAATCGCCAACCACGTGGTATACACGTCGTTAGGCAATTGTTACAGAAACACTGGATCATTCTAGCACACGTGTCTGTGAATTTCTTGTCACCGCAAGTGGTTAAATATCTTAAATAAAATATTCGAGAAATCTGTATTTCTTAATTCCAAATTACACCCTGGCTTTCCATTTCTGCAAAACTTTACGAGATCAATGGTCAAACGAAAAATCCACGAATTTGCATGGAAGATGGATAAAGTGTTGGTGATACTTTGAAAATTTTGAACAGAATATTAGTCCATGTCAATGGAGATTTAAAATGGAAAATATATTCTTCGCGAGAAATCCCTCTCGAAATCCCTCGAAAGACGTTCCCCATAAAAAGTTGGGAAAAAGCGGCTGGAAATTAAAATGGAATATAAAAAAAGAGGGGGAAGGATAATTCAAAAACTCACGGGCACATCTGCTGAAGACTCTCCTTCGTCACAGCGAAGCTGAAGTCGTTTTTGTTTATCTTCTCGAGGGGCCTTCCGCACATCGTCAGCCTTTCATGTCCGCACTCTTGGCTCCGACAACTGCCAAGCACTGAAATGGAAACAGCGATAATGTAGAAGGAAGAAGAATGCCAACGAATGGAGCAAACGGACGATAAGGTGTTTCCACGATTGAACGATTAATAGCGGTTACGATCCGGCTGTCGTTTTAAAACGTCGTTCGACGAGTTTACGCTATAGGCACCGTCCCATTTTGCGATTTATCGGCTGCCACGCGAACGGAAAAGTGGCACATTTATTCGCTACATTAACCTCCGTTTAACCCTTTCGCAGCTGGAGGTTCTACCGCGTGCCAGCTGCAAAAGCTTCGTCGTAGGAAGCGTAGACGACGCTTCTGGCAAACTGACTCGCGTTATCCGATATTCCGCTGGTGGTACTCGAACCTTTTTACTCCAGGGATCACCCTAATTATAACGGCAAAATAGAGAGGATCGATAGTCGATATCAAGTTCGTAATAAAGTGACGTAAATGGCAACGACTTTCAAACGGAGAAGTGAATTTTTTAAAATTGCCTATTGATATTCGAAGCACCAAAGGAGTCCAAAAGGATTAATCTAGGACCATTTGGGTTTCTGGGGATTATTGAAAATAGTGAAAATGTACAGCTATTTCTGGTATAAATTAATATTCAATTACTGTCGAGATAGGAACTTAATTATATTTATTTACTTTCATCGTGCCATTTTAGTCATCGTTAACTATGCCTAGATATCATTATCGGTTGACAATTCTAGTATTAACTCTATCGGTTCATAATGTAGGGCTTAGAACGAAAGTGTCTGCGTGCAAGAGGATCGAATGTAAGAGATGTTTATGACAGCTGAATGCGATAAACGAGTGGAAGTCTATGATTGCGTCTGAGTGTTTAGGATACCGATACCTAGAATAGGTAACCGACGATTGAGAAAGAGAGCGTGGGTATGAAAGAAGACAGAATGCAAGGGTTTTTTTTTGCAATCACCGAAAACATACACCTGCTTTGAGAATAAAATTGGTATCAACTCGTGTTAAGAAAGAACTGTAATCAATATATTCACTCATATTCATCGTATCGCGGAAATTATTATAATCTGTGCACGTTATAGTTAGGTATCCATTAAAGATCGGTAGTTCTAGTGTTAAATAAGAGTGCAAGGACGCGGAAGGGTCAGAATAAGGATCAGAGAGTGTCAGAGCGCGTCAGACTGTGTCAGAGTGTCTTAAAATCAGAGAGAGTTTGTGTTTTAGAGTCAGTCTTAGAGTTTTGAGAAATAGGGAGTGAGAGTCGGCCGAGAGTTATTAACGAGTAGAATAAGTTTTATTTTAAAATAAATAATTTTTATATTTACGTCACTGTTTATTCTGTTGCCTACTCAACATTCCTACAATAATTAGGTGTTGCGTCCCGCTCGGGAAGTTTCGCAGTTGCAGCAATGTTGCTGGGATACGGTCTACTCTAAATTAATAGAGCTAGACCTGGTTATGATTAAACTACAGAGAGTTCTATAGTAGATTGCTGGTATGATGATGATGGGTCCTGATGATAATAGTATGATCTTGAGGGTGTGTACTAGTTTCGACGTCTTGCTGTGGTAGTGGAAGTTTAAGTAATTTGGGTCCTTGTGCCTATCTTAAGGGTGATATATTGGTCCTTGTTACGGTTTACCCAAGTGGTGGCTTAGGTGACGATGAGTATATATATACAAGTCAAGGGACGCTGACAATAAGGACATAAAACAGTCCTCCACTTGACCTGGGACATTGCGCTCCCAGGGCTGCAACATTAGGTCTTTAATTACACCAAATTTATTGGTTGCAAGATTCTTCCCACGATAAATACACCTAATTCGTTCGTTAATTAAATATAGTTAATTCTCACTTGATTAATCCCATTTAAACATCTTTCTTCCACGACAAATTTCAAATAAAGAGCACAATTGTCCCAGTGTGCCTGTGTAGGAGTACAACAATACCAGGTCTGCGACAAGAACTTTCCATCGGTAACACAATTTCCGAAGTAACTTTTCCACGATGGGCTCTCGTGTTTACGTAAAATTGCAGAAAAATTCATAATGAGGGAATTAATAAAAATAAAAAGGAACTCTCCGGAGTCTTCAGACGACTTCGCTTTGCTCCCCAGCACGCCACTTCGGGATAATCCCTTCTGCCATCGTTCACCGCGCAAGTTATGTTATTCTTCGAAAGACAAGGCAACGTGGAGAAAAGTCGATCTTGACCTCGCTGAAACCCCCGACACGAGCTAATCGCGTTACCTTCGATCGAACCTGGCGAACGTGCCGCAATTGTGAAGTGGAAGAAATTAATTTTTCATCTGAAACTCGTTCGATACGTTAGACGTTAATGACAAAGGCGAGTACCGCGAGACTCGCGATGCGATAAAACGTGTGCAAATAATTTATCGCGTATCGCTTCGACAGCCACCTGGTTAACTTTATTCGATACGACATTAAGTATAAAAATGAATAATAGCTGCGTGAAATAAGCTCCGGTGATACGTTTATCTGGCCAGGGAAAATTAAATTTAGCGAGGAAAAGAAACTGCAGTCCCTGGGTTGGAGCTCTAATTGCTTATGACAAAAGTCAACGCGGATGTTTAAGATGTAAATATATTCCACGAGCTTCGACGACTCCGATGAATTATAAATCCTACTCGCGAGAGAAAGATAAATAACATTGGCGCGCAAAAGAGTATACAGCAGATGCGAAATGTGCAAGTACCGGAGTGTATGAAAGGGTACATACACCGTTATATAAAATTTATATCGGTTAAATATTGGACTTGAAAATTTTACGCTGTGTACAGTTCCTGAAATTCGTCGGACGCTCGTAACTTTTTGCGCGCGAAATAAATTGAAAAAAACAAAAAATGGACGCAGTCTGTGTGCATCTTTTGAAATACGTTGATACTCGAAAATATGAATTTTGTTTTCCACGTGAAAGATGCGTAAGAATAGAACAGAAGTCTGACAATAGTTTTAATAGTCTAACCGTTTCTATCCATTGATTTACCACGAAGGTTACACAATTTTTCGAATAAATTCACGCGTAACTATTGTCAACTTTGCAGAAAAATTCGAAGCAAGCGTGACTTCGATTATTTATAGTTTTATCGTCTACGATTCTCGATGGCCTAGAAGAGTATGATAAATTCCGAGTTTCCTAGGGAAATGTATATAGTAACAGTGACAACCACACAAAACTGGGGAATTCGAATTCTAAATAAAATATAACGAGGGAAATATTTATCAAATTAATCAACCAAACACCAACGCGATATAGATAATAAATTCTACATGCCCCATAGATCTAAGCGCTACGATTCACGAATGAAACAGAGCAAACTCGGTAAGTAGTATTATTTCAAATTTCGGACGAGCCAAATACTCAGGCGTTAAATAGCAATTAACAAATTGCTTATGAAATAAACGCGACCAGGATTGAGGATATTCTTTAAAACGTGAAACGCAGTGTCACGCGAGGAAACTGGAACGTTGATAAATCCACGTTAGCCCGTACATCGAGACGCCGACTAATGGCGCTGGTATGGATGTACCACTGCGCGTCCGAGCAATGCCAGGTTGATCCACTTGAGCCTTCGCTCGTCTTTTTGCGAGGATTAAAGCGGATTACGCGCGGCCAACACGGCCGCCAGGGTAACGAGAATTTAGCTAACATCGCGCAGACCGATTCCATGCACACCTGCCCTGGTGCTTACATGCGTGTAACATACTCGCGAGAGCATGTAATGCATCTGACGAGAGGCCCAGTGACTTATCGCTGGTATCGAGTGCTTGGTATATCACTCCGCTGGGAGAAGATGAATTTCATTCGGATAGATACGAGCAGATATTTTCTCTTATCAATCGTGCATGTGCAATCCATCGTAAGAGGATATTTAGCATCGATTATGAATGTGGAATGGACGGAAGATATGTGAAAATATTTTCAAATATTTTCTTATTGTCAATCAGAGGGGTAGTTTCGAAGATTTTTGGGATTATGATCGAGATAAATGAAAATATATTACGTGAAAACATTAAGGGCTAATAATTGTTATAAGTAATCGTACTTGATGCTACTATTGGGTTGGCAAGAAAGTACTTTCGGTTTTTTAGTGTGAAATAAAACTCAATTTTTTCTATACAGTAAATGAACATTAATCGGTCAAATATCTTCCATTCTATTCGATGACCTTTTACCATCTTTCTGGTAACTTCATGATCCCGCGCTCATAAAATTTCTGGTCCTTATCCGCAAAAAACTTAACCAAGCGCGTAAATCTCAGAAGGTCGACCAGAACGTTGTGGGTATCTTTCAGTGAAAAATCTTCAGAACGAAATTTTTTAAACTAATTCTGACACGTGCGTTCTGTTAAACAATCAACACCATAAATTTCTCGTATCTCTTTGTGAGCCTCAGCCGCATTCTTGCCTTTATGAAAATAAAAAAGTAAAATGTGTCGAAAATGCTTATTTTTGCACTCCATGTTAAGACTGACCGTGAACTGACAGTTATAAACGAAATTACACGGAATTTCACGAAATAGCAACCTAAAGGTATCGACTACCACATCTGAAAAGAAAAAAATTCTAACATTGACAAAAGAATAACTAAACAAGCATAAAATTATTTACTGATGCAAACCGAAATTACTTTCTTGCCAACCCAACATAATGGTACAGTGAATGCATAAAATGGTAATAAAGAAATATCAAAGTTGCCTGACATCGCTTGATGTTTTATTGACAAATTGAGAAAGGGTCAAAAGAAAGATGGTGAAAGGACAAAATATAATCTCTGATCCAATAACGATGTCAATCGATGACAGGTTTTAATTGCACACGAGTTGTATTTCGCAATCCTTTGTTTAACAGAAGCTTTATTTATTTATTTATTTTTTTCATTTTTTATTATTTCATTTGTATGAAGCAATTTCGGCCAACTGTGGCGTAACAATGACAGGTAAAAAACAGTTTGCCGATTTTGATTGTTCTTTCAAAGAGGAACACGTGTTTATACATTTATAATTA